AAGAGAGAGAGAGAGAGAGAGAGAGAGAGAGAGAGAGAGAGAGAGAGAGAGAGAGAGACTTTTTTTGTTCAATTTCCTTCCGATGCCCTTCAACTCCAAAACAAAACAAGATCATCTACAGAATACACTGAGAAAGAAAGGAAAAAATACAACCCACTTTGAAAAAAACAACCCCAAAACAAAACTCTATTACACACAGATAAAGAAAGCATATCAGTTAATTTGGTGGAAGAAAAATAAGCCACACATGATACCAATTGTGTTATCTTTTCCATTTCAGAAATCAATGAATAACACAGACAATCTGTGTAACATGTATAGGAGGAAAAGAAAAAAATTATCAAACAAAAAATTAAATACCTAATATGTCTGTAAATAAAAACGGCACACAAACATATAGTCCAACGTTCACTATACTCACTTGACATCTAGAAAGGAGTAGTCATCTTGCTCCAATTCTCTAATAAATTCTATTTCATGCTCCTGCTTAGCAGACGCTCTTGAGGGGAGATAATTCAGTATGCTACTCCAAGCAGCAAACGCGTCTACATTTGCTCTTGTTCCAAGGCCTGTTCTTGAGTAGCCCCTCAGATCAACTGCCATCATTGAAGTGAAAGCCGTTGAGATACTGGCAGGATAAATAGAATAGTTTTAGGCTTTGTGACAGGGCTTGAATTTTGTTTTTAACTGTTGTTTTTCAATTTCAGTCTCCTGGACATTTTCCACAGAACTCCAAAATCATTTGCATATGATGGTGTCTGGTCTAATAGTCTAATCATACAGTATCTTGAAAGCAAATCCAAAAGCACAAAATCACTAACGATTTTTTTTTTTACAATGCTGTTCAGTCCTTCCTTTTTATTTGTTTTTTCTTTTTCAGAAATATGATTATGGTCTGATGGTTATATTACAATGTCAACAAATTCGTTTTTTTTAAAAACAACAAGTGAATAGTTTGTCACCATTGTTATTATACTCATCTACCATCTAAAAAGAGATCACGGCTGTAATGACAAATAAATGAAGACGTGTCTACAAAAGTAACAAAGAACAGAAAAGAAAAAAACAGACATAATATAATTAAGAAGAACAGAGCCAAAAATGTCAGTTATAAAATTCAATGATGTCTCTAGAAGGTCTCATACCTTGGACTAAGGGACAAATCTGTTTGAATTGGTTGTTTCTTTTCAAAGAAGTTCTTAACATCAGTCTTGACTTTCCCCATGAGCTTGGTGACAACACTGATGTCAGTCTGTGCCTCCAGTGGTAGCCCTGCCACAGTAGGTAACACCTGACAGAGATAACAAGCTAAACTTGTGATACCGTAGTAGGTGTTGGACTTGGAACCAAAAAAAGTAGATTCAATATTCCTGGTTTTGTCAAATAGCACTTTAAAAAGAAGCAAAGTGCATTTCATATCAACACTGATTTTGCATTTGTACTAAAATATGATTTTTAGTTGTTTTTTTTTTTTTTAAGTAATGCACCTGAACATTCAAATATTTTTATATGAATACAACAGTTGACATTGAATGAGTCACGACGTGGTGGAATCAGGCGCTCATCATCTTTTGGGCAAGTGGAGTTATTGGTATCATCTTAAAGTTTGTTCATTTGTCTTGCTATCGGTAAAAAAAATACCCACCTATCTTGAATAAAAGTCGAGATATTTGAGATTGAAGAAGGTGGGGTCGCCTGGTTTCAAATGTAGAATTAACAAGAAAATGGTCACCAAAGTCTGGTTATTTTCATAGCTTGATAGTCCGGGGAAACTGAAAACTTACACTATTTGTGCCTTTAATCAATGTTTTTCAGTAAAATCCACACAGAAATGTATTCTTAAAAGAACAGCAATGGAGTTAAGTCACAAAACAAAAATTCATTAAAAATTGCCAAACTTGCAGAAAAATGCCAGTTTCTTCAATATCATTATTTTGACAAGCGCCTCATTTTACCACGCTGCCTCACAAATACATTGGCTCATTAATAAAGCTTCAAGGTTAACTGACTTGCTCAAAAAAAGCAGTTTTTGAAAAATTTCAATCACCTTTCTGAACTTCATGAGTTCAAATGCTCTAACCCATGCCAGGTTTATCCCTTGTGCGAGAGTCATAATGACTTGCTCCACAGGATCTCCCTTGGCTCTCAGTCGCTTCATCAACAAGAGGGCTGAATCAGTTGATATAGACCCCATCTCATAGCCTGTAAGAATAAGACGAATGCCGGATACCATATTCACCTTGAATGCATTAAATTATTATCTACTTTTTTTCTTTTGAATTGATTAAAACTTTTTTTAACAAAAGAAAACGAAAAAACCTGTATACAGTTAACTTTCTCTGACACAAAGCGGTTAACATAAAATTTCAGTTACCAGAGGAGGATTTCAAATCTCTGGCTTTTTTTCTACTTATTCTATGCATTACTATTTCCTCTGACACTAAATCTGTTTAACACAGAGATATTATCTGGTCCCACAAAATTCATATTATCAAGGTTTTACTGTACGCATCAACCTATATAATAAAGAGAATATTTATCAAGATTGGAATAATTTGCAATATAAGTAAGAAAGAGAGCCAAAGAACAAGAATCTCATAGAGGTCAGAAAAAGAGGGATGGGAGGACAGAAATTCATTCATAAAGCTACACATTGGGGATAATCTTTCTTCTTGTGCTTCCAAGCAAAAAGCAGGCCAGAACTCTTTGTCTTGTGAAGCCAGAAGATTAGACAATACAAGGCGGTTCACTCTTCCACTTAAAGTTTTGGGGGGGGGGGGGTTTCAACGTGCCCCTTAACGATGGAGGCGACATTTATATTACTCCAATATGGATACTGTTTATATAGAATAATATATTCTGTTTGCAAAGAACAGCTTCAAAGATTGTACTAGAAAAAAATTTCTGTTTGAGAAATGGAACAAAATATTTCCATCAATATTGGGGTCTGCATCTGTGCTCCTACCCACAGATTGTCTAGTATGTTTTATTTAGGGAGTTAATAATCTTGTAGTTTGCATTCTCTATCATTGGTGTCCAACTCTAACTATGTATCCCCCAAACTATGTCAAAACATTTTTTGGTGTCTCAAATTAAAGTACAACCAATATGTAACCAACATAAAAAAGTTCAAATAATACTGAAGGTGTTTATATCACAAAACGTGCCCGCTGATCGATCAAATAACAGAGAAATTATGTCTTTAATCTATTTTTCTCAAAATAATTATGTGTTCAAGCATATATATGGTGAGAGTACGAGATTAACGATGTTTGCAAATGACTCACCTAGAAATCTAAAAGTAGCCTGACCTCGGGGAAAAGAAGCTTTCTTGATATTTGCCAGCATAAACAAAGTTTGCAAAGTTTTTTTCACTTTACTATTGAAATGGGCAAACTCAGGGGCTTTTGCTTGGGCCGTCTTTTGAATGAACTCCTGGAGCATTTTCAGCAATGCAGTAGCACTACTGGACTCCGACTGTTGACCTTCATTTTCTGAAATGTTCTTTAGCAGAGTTTTCAGGGTGTCAAAACCTGTGTAATCAAAAAAGAAAAGAAAATTACAATAACAACAAAAATAAATAACATGTTATTCTGTGCCACAACTTTTCACTTTTTTAAAACCGTGAGATGTAATTTTTTTTAATGTACTGATTTATTCAGTTGGTTCTTTTTATGCATCTCAGAAGAGTAACCAATTTGAATTTTGAAAAAAAGCAAGCGAAAGAGAGGTCATTCTTATAGCATGTTTCTCGGAGCAGCAATCATGAAAATACTTTCTGTTGTAAGAATCGTACAAAATGAATTGTCCTCACACTAGTATTCATGAGAGTTAAAGTCGTTGAAAAGATAGTTGATTGTCCTTACACTATGGTGTATCTAAAACATTAATTTTAAAAATGTTTAAAATACACATGTAGCGTTCATAGATAGTTACTTGACCTATAAGCATATCTTAATTTTTTTCATTCTTTATAAAATTGATTTCTGGTATATCATTCACTCAATGAGTATACTTATGCGTGTTGAAGAAGGAGTTGCTTGGCCAAAACATCCACAGTAAACTTGTTGTGTTAAGGCTTTTAAACATTTCTTCTCATGATATTCTTAAAATGGCGTGATAAAATGAGTGAAACTAGTTTTCCTACTCGCATCATGCAAGTCAAATAATAATTAGGTAACACTGGCATCAGAGCATACATGGATGATGTGCAAGTGGAAGAGAGAGAATATTACATCTGAATGAAAATAGTGTGTGTGTGTGTGTGTGTGTGTGTGTGTGTGTGTGTGTGTGTGTGTGTG